AATCTCCAGTCGCTCAAGGCAAGAGCGGCTTGTTCTTACTCCCATTTCATCCATCCCCACATGTGATAGCGATCTACGCAAAATAACACTGGAACATGAGATATAAAGACGCGCTAAACGCGCTCCAGCAGAGGCCATTCACATCGTACTGATGTCTAACAAAGCTTGTTAGTTAAGGAGACTAGGGGAAAAGTGACAGTCATCCTTACGTAACTGCAAAGAGAACCAAGCTGTTCTCAAATGCCCACGGAAATCTGGTCCGTCGTTGTTTTTGTTCCCCCTAGAAACAAACACACAGGATTCGAACATTTATTCAGTCCCCGTTTACTTTCACCGAAAAGTGAATATATATAATATATATTACATATCATTTAGCTTTGACTATCCCCTATTCAAAATTAAAATGTCAAAAAGAACTTCAGATAACTTCAGTATTTACTGCAGAACTAATAGCAATCTTACTAGCACTTCAGTGGATAGAAGACATACAACCAACAAAGGCAGTGACATGCACAGATTCTCTTTCAGCACTAAACAGTTTGTCAAGTGGAAAATCATTAGCAAGACAAGACATGATAAATGAAGTAATGCAGAGTCTTTTTAGAATAAGACAGTATGGACTTCTGGTAAATATCGTGTGGGTACCTTCACATATAGGTGTGAAAGGAAATGAGGAGGCTGATCATTTGGCTAAACAGGCATTAAATCATTCACAAATAAACATTGAAGTGGCATTAAGTAAATAAAAGCGATAATAGCGAAAGAAATACAGGAAATACGGCCAAATGAATGAAAAGAAGGAACAAAAGGTAGACATTTACACTGCATACAAGAAAAAGTTGGTTCAGAGAGAAGACGATTTGGAAACAGGAAAGAGGACGTTATAATTGCAAGAATGAGTATTGGTCATTGTTTATTAAATCATGAAAACATGAAAATGGAAATTGTGACAAATGTGGGTTAACAGAAACTGTAGAACACGTACTTATAAAACGTGAGGCTTATGAAAGAGAACGTTTCCAACTAAGTCAAGCTTTAAGGTATCTGGAAATAAATGATCTGTCACTCCAGCTTTTGTTAGGCGATGGATCTAAGCAATCAGGAATATATTGCGAATTAGTTAGTTATTTAAAAAAAATAATCATTTTAAGGTAGCTCTTGTTTCTAAAGTTCCTATTCATTGTGCGCTTCACACTCCTTTCCAGTAGGTGGCGGGAATGCACCTTTTAAGTTGGTTTGCCAACCGCCATTAAATCCTAAAAGAAGAAGCTTTGACCATATTCACCAAATAGAAAGGCCATGTAGATGTCATTTAAATACATTTGCAAACCATGCTTCTGAATTTGGGGGGAAAGCACCTCTCAAGCAATTAACTTAAAATAGCCATGTATGAAACAACCAAATGAAATGATGTAAAGCTGTGAAACAATATGTCGTTATCATGTACAGTAGCCTTTAGTAACGGTTGGTTCTGGAAGTCCGAACAAAAATATTTAAAGCCTGGAAGACTTGGGAAGTGTAATCTCATTGCTGTTTTCGTTTACTAATGTTTATTTAATGCAGTGATTCCTAAACGTTTTTGTCAGCCAAACCCCTGACAAAATATTTACTTGGAGTCTCTGATGAAGTTAATATTTCAGTAATTTAACAACGCATTCTCATGTTTACTGTAAAAAACAAAACCCAATACAATACATTTTTACATTAAGCCTATGGTAACCCTTGTGTAATAGACTATAATGTAATGTTTAATTGATTTTAAGAAGTTGATATAAACATGGATTATAATTAATTTTTTATGTCAATATGGTACATTTAATAGTAAGTTTAAAATAAGTTAGACAAAAAGTAATCTAAAAATTGGTAAGAATACATTACCTAAAACGAGTAACCTCCTAGACTACATTACTATAATTTTCATCATGTGATCTGTAGTCAGTAATGGATTACAATTTGTAAGTAATCTACCCAGCACTGTAATTATATGCACACTTTATGCATTAAAGTACTTACTGAAGTTATGAAAGACAAATATAACGTTGGAAAATTGATTTAAGATTTTAATATATGAGATATAGTAGAGCATTGGCTTCTTGAATATGAAGGACAAAAATGATAGCACTAACAAAAGAAGTGGGACTATTTATTCCCCTTTTCCACAGTTAACAATGTTAGAAAAAAAATGACATTAGAGCAGTAAAGCTGAAGGATGCACAAAGATATGCCTCGAATACCTTTGACCATGTCATATCTCATCCAATAAGTGCAGCAGATCTAGATGCTCAAAAAGTAAAACTGCATGAAGTTAACAGGAAGACAGAGTTTTAGTTTTTAGGAAGACAGCGACAGGAGAACTAGACTACTTGGTCATTGGATCAGTAGAATAAAAAAAAAAAAATACATTGTATTACACCAATCAGTTAGTCAACCGGTTTAATTAGTTTGCAACCACCTTGATCCATTACGATCAAATTTAAATGCAGGGACTATTATACAAATAGAAATGCTCATTAAGCACCAGGGCACTGACAAATATCTCAGAATGCTAATATATATTTCAAACCATTACAATGTGTTGTAAAAAAAATCCCAATTAAATAATCCCAACAAACCATCTAGACAAGGAATCATGCAGATACATCCGTAGTCATTTCCTTCTCCAGCATACCTGTAAATGCACATGGCATGCATGCAAAGCTTTAATCACATCTTAATTTGAGCCCCACTATAGTTCAAAACAGAGCATTTTCCATTCAGCATCTAAACATTTAAAAGAACAGAAGGCATTAGCATTCCCCGCAACACTTAAGTGTTATGTGCTTCAGATGTGCCTGTGACCTAGATGCCACATTTAAAACTGATTTTCAGTCACCCTATAAGACACATTATAAAAAGCTACATGGAAAAACAAGTAAAGATGTGAAGCATTGATGGCTTTTCTGTTATAAGCATTTGCTTGTCAACTCTACCTTCTTTAATGGTTCTCTACACTTATTCTTGGTTTCTCTACACTTACAGTTTCAAGTCATTATGACGGTCTCATGTGATTCATGTTTTAAGTTAGTGTGGTGAATTATGATCAACTATTTTAAAGGTCTTTTAAATTGAAAAAGATCACATTTCATTTTACATGTTAGAGTATTACCATACTGTAAGCATTAACATTAAGTTTGTTTCCAGTTTAGCGAAATTAATCTTTAGGCGCAACTCCTCTTCTATAAACAGTAGCAAAAACAGTAATGAAAATACTTAATTTCAGGGGAACAGATGTTAATTTCTTTAAAAAAAAAAAAAAAAACTAACTTGATTTCTCATCTTACAACAACATTTTGCATAAACACAATGCAGCTTGTCTAATTAATTGCATAATTCACTCTGTGACCTAGATGCCACATTTAAAACTGATTTTCAGTCACCCTATAAGACACATTATAAAAAGCTACATGGAAAAACAAGTAAAGATGTGAAGCATTGATGGCTTTTCTGTTATAAGCATTTGCTTGTCAACTCTACCTTCTTTAATGGTTCTCTACACTTATTCTTGGTTTCTCTACACTTACAGTTTCAAGTCATTATGACGGTCTCATGTGATTCATGTTTTAAGTTAGTGTGGTGAATTATGATCAACTATTTTAAAGGTCTTTTAAATTGAAAAAGATCACATTTCATTTTACATGTTAGAGTATTACCATACTGTAAGCATTAACATTAAGTTTGTTTCCAGTTTAGTGAAATTAATCTTTAGGCCCAACTCCTCTTCTATAAACAGTAGCAAAAACAGTAATGAAAATACTTAATTTCAGGGGAACAGATGTTAATTTCTTAAAAAAAATAAAAAAATAAATAACTTGATTTCTCATCTTACAACAAAATTTTGCATAAACACAATGCAGCTTGTCTAATTAATTGCATAATTCACTAATTTCTAGAAACTTCCCATTAGCAAGAACCAATTATGAAACTGTGAGAGAAAAACAGAGGACCCCAGATTTAATAGTACCCATTTATTATGACCATATGGAGCGAGAGTAAAACACCCTGACCAGTCTCTATTCCTTTTAGCCCTTCCAGGACATGTGGTAGGAGGCACTTGATAGCTAGCATGGGCAAAGTTTATGTTGGGCTTATCAGGTAACTAGAAAAACCAAGCAACCATGCTTCCCCCCCCCCATTACTGGATGTTAAACACTGTGTGCAGTTGTTTCAGTTCCAGGCATTTAAAGTCTTTTTTGTCAGAAACATACAAATTCAATCAGTGAAACCAAAAATACTTTGGTCGTAATAATTTTCCCGATGTTCATTACATGTATTTAACATCAAATTATACTTAGTTTTAATAAAATCTGAGTAATGCTTTTCTTCACAAATGGTCCTATTGTGCAATTCAGGGTTTCAAAATTAATTCTGTGATATTGTTCCATTAATTAAAAAAAAGGTGTCTTTATCATTCATTCTTAATGAACTACACATTAGGTCGCAGATTAAAACGTTGACTCTCAGGGAAAAACAACACTGGACTGCTGGGAAACAAAATGCATCAACTATTTGCAGGAGCCAGAGTAAATCACAGCAAAATAAAACTTCAATTCAAGTTTTCCCACGATTAGGTGGGAAATCCCGCTGCAGCTCATTTTCTAGTAGGTCATACTTTAAGAATGAAGAAAAGGGGAATGAAAGCACGGTCCGATTTCTTTGGCAGTACAGCTCTGCATCCACAGAGCGGATGGATGGACAGAGGGTTGAGGAGGTAGAGAGCTAGTCAAAAGCTTCTACCCATATTGTTTATTTCATATGGGATGGAGACAATGTTTGCCTATAATTTTCCCCTTCACCCAACCACCATCCTGTAGTTAAGGCTATTGGTGTTCAGTGTGACATCCTGATATCACTGCTGAAAAGTCTGTGCCGATAAAAAAAAAAATAAAAAAGTCAAACGGAAGGTGTTCGTATATTTTCAAACAACGATTGGACTGTCGGAAAGGACAGTAACGCCCTCCCCACACCCTTGCTGGCACGGAAGCAGGCATAACCCAGAAGCCCCCACATGGCTCCTTTCAACACATTGCGTACTACCCAGCCAAATCGAGATGGTGGAGCCACGCTAAAAGGAAAAGAAACAAAGATTTTTGTCATGATATATCTGGTGCTATTAGATACCAAAGTACATGCGCAGCTGTGTCGGTACTTACCTCATGATCTCATGAATATTGAGCTCTTCATCCCAGTTCCTCTCAATACCAGGAACATGACCCATGCCTACCACTCCAACCACCACAGCAGGCACTTCTGAAGAAAAAAAAAAGAGAGCGTCTGAACGAGAGGTTTCATATAACAATTAACATGACTCCAAATATGTTTCTTGCTTGAATGAAGCACTGGCAGTTTTAGTTTAGCATAATTTATATACTAATATAGCATACATTTATTATTTTAAATTAGCCTTTATCAGTTGTCATTTTTGTAATTTTGTTATGTGCGTTTGCCATTATTACTAAATTTTTTGAATATTTCTATTTAGCTTTAATTCAGGTTTAATCTGGGTTTCATTCAGGTTTACTTCAAATTTTAGTACTTCAAATTAAAGGTAACAGTTTTAAGTTTTTCATCTAACATTTTATTTCCGCAATAATATCACAAGGGATTTTGTTTTATTGTTTGCCCACAGTATCAAAATAACATTAACAGTATCACATCATATATTCATGTTACAGAATGTACAAAATCTAAAAGATAAGCAAAAATAAATGGGGGGGACAAAGCAAATGACAAAGAATGATCACACCATTTTAGAGCAGAATTAAAATAAGAATTAAATGAAAATGAAAGAAGTTAAAAACAGTTAAAAACTGCATGTACGTCAAGAGAGCTCTTTTATGTATTCCCAAAGGGGAGACCATATCAGCCAGAATCTGTCAGATTTTTGATGTTTATCATAGGCATGAGGGTGAGTAAATGACAGAAATGTATGTAAATGTATGACACTGAGCATACCACAATATGTATTTTTAAATTCAAGAAATTTCCCTAGATCAAATTAACATCACTATCACTTCACAGCAGGGCAGAGACTGCGGCATACAGTACTCACTCTCAGCGTTAGGAGGGGCCTCCACACAGCGCGCTGCTTGTCTAAGTGTGTGTGTGAGGTAGATGTCTCGTTCTGCAACAATAGTGCGGTGGAGGGCTGGGAACTCGCCAATCATTTCTGACATGGTCTGCTCCAGAAGGTCCTTTTGTTTACATTTCTCTACATCCTCCTTGCTGATAAGAGCAAGAACACATACCAAAATAAGATTCATGTAAATTTCAACCAAACAAGAACATGTCCAGGTCATATTTCAGGGCAAAGTTTATGTTGGGCTTATCAGGTAACTAGAAAAACCAAGCAACCATGCTTCCCCCCCCCCATTACTGGATGTTAAACACTGTGTGCAGTTGTTTCAGTTCCAGGCATTTAAAGTCTTTTTTGTCAGAAACATACAAATTCAATCAGTGAAACCAAAAATACTTTGGTCGTAATAATTTTCCCGATGTTCATTACATGTATTTAACATCAAATTATACTTAGTTTTAATAAAATCTGAGTAATGCTTTTCTTCACAAATGGTCCTATTGTGCAATTCAGGGTTTCAAAATTAATTCTGTGATATTGTTCCATTAATTAAAAAAAAGGTGTCTTTATCATTCATTCTTAATGAACTACACATTAGGTCGCAGATTAAAACGTTGACTCTCAGGGAAAAACAACACTGGACTGCTGGGAAACAAAATGCATCAACTATTTGCAGGAGCCAGAGTAAATCACAGCAAAATAAAACTTCAATTCAAGTTTTCCCACGATTAGGTGGGAAATCCCGCTGCGCTTTTCTTCACAAATGGTCCTATTGTGCAATTCAGGGTTTCAAAATTAATTCTGTGATATTGTTCCATTAATTAAAAAAAAGGTGTCTTTATCATTCATTCTTAATGAACTACAGATTAGGTCGCAGATTAAAACGTTGACTCTCAGGGAAAAACAACACTGGACTGCTGGGAAACAAAATGCATCAACTATTTGCAGGAGCCAGAGTAAATCACAGCAAAATAAAACTTCAAATCAAGTTGAATTTTCTGACATGGTCTGCTCCAGAAGGTCCTTTTGTTTACATTTCTCAACATCCTCCTTGCTGATAAGAGCAAGAACACATACCAAAATAAGATTCATGTAAATTTCAACCAAACAAGAACATGTCCAGGTCATATTTCAGCTACAATAAAACAATGTCTCGTTCTGCAACAATAGTGCGGTGGAGGGCTGGGAACTCGCCAATCATTTCTGACATGGTCTGCTCCAGAAGGTCCTTTTGTTTACATTTCTCTACATCCTCCTTGCTGATAAGAGCAAGAACACATACCAAAATAAGATTCATGTAAATTTCAACCAAACAAGAACATGTCCAGGTCATATTTCAGCTACAATAAAAAAAATCATGTTTTGCTTAAACAAAATGAAGTCTATATTTTAAAATTACTTTTACAACAATTATTGTCTTTAAAATAATGGTCCTAAATAAAGGCTTCATTAAGCTTGATGGAATTTCATGCTTAAAATTTAATCTAATTCAGATTTAAATTAGATTTAATTTAGTAAAATTTGCCTTTATTAAAAATATAAATAAAAATGTGAAGGCTGTCGATCAATTGAATTACTTTTGAATATATTTTTTTTAAATATTAAATTAATAATGTTGATTAACTAAATTCATTTACAAATCATTAGTGTTAAAAAAAAATAAAAAATCAAATTAATTTAAAAGTCATTACTTTGGCGGAAGAAATCTTAATGGATTGGACACACTATAAAAGTGCCTTTAGCATTATATTAGCATCTTATTTAGATTATATCTTATCATTGAACCTAAGCTTATCGCTTCTAGACCACAACTATCCATTTCGCAAAAATTTGTTTTATGTACAGTACACATGCAGACTGGCATCTTTGGCCGTCGTGTCTTGGTATTTTCTTGTCTCATTTTTAAGACACCATATGAAGTTTTAGATTCTAAGAGAGTTCTTAAAAACACCAAGAAGTGATAAATGTGCATATAAAGACAAAGTGGTGTAGACTTGTACCTGATGGGGTCAGAGAGGAAGCACAGGCCCCAGGCCAGACGAGCCTTCTGCCACAGGCTGAGAGCAGCTATTGCACGCTTAAAGGTTACTGGAATGGGCCGATCCCCAAGATGAAATTTACAGAAGGGCACTTTTCCTGCCTGCATTGGGTAAAACAGAAGGAAATGCATATTTTATTCATGCAGACCAGTCTTTGCCGTGACATGCACTGCGGTGTCCACAGGTTTCATGTTTCGTGACTACGTGCATTTACGGTTCTTTGATAATTGGTGACATCTGCTGGGAGTCAGAAGCGAGTGCATGAGATACAGTGCATGTCAGGACCATGAGGACAGCGTAAGTGAGCGAGAGCATGTGCATTCACACGGACCTCCTTAAAGGCTTCTCTAAACTCTCCTCCGGGGGCCATGCCCAGCTGTTCTGTAATGTGAGCCGAGACTTTGAGCAGCAAGATCTGCATGAGGCCAGACATCACTCCATTCTGACATGAGAAATGAGAAAACAAAACAGAGAGTAAAAATGAGGTTAGACTAGTAACATGTCGATAAATGAATGCAGAGGAATGTGTTTGACAATATAATAACTATGTCATGACTGACCTGTTTAATGGCCTGCTGGACCTTCTCCAAGTTAATGTCTTTAGCCTCTTTTAGCAGCGTCTTCTCATCCATCTTAAGCATGGATACTCTATACTGGCATAGCTCCACCACCACAACATCTGGCTGTACCGCTCGGATTGTCTGAAACCGAGCACACCGTATCAAAACAGCATTTGATCAATCAGTAGAACTGATGTTAGTCTATAAAAAGAGAAAGCCAATTCTTACAGTGGTAACATCCTTCTTGCTGCTGTCGCTGAAGTGGGCAGTGCCAACCAGGTACACAATACTGCCCTCAGGTGTGGCGAGACGCGTCACGGTGTCCGGCAGATCTGGCTCCGTCTGTCGGCGCTGGGTACGCATTTGCCACAACACTTCCACTGCCTCAGAGTCTGCTAAACAGACAAAAACATTTTCAAGATCAAAACAAATATTTATTTCAAGAACATAAGAGGTGGAGCAAGAACACAGAAAATAATTTTTAGAGAACTAGTTTCAGAACTGAAAATCAGAAACGGAAATGGAAAATGAGTCGTAAACAAAAGTATGTAAATAGTCTTCTTTCCATATGAGCTCATAATAAAAAGAAAACGTTGCATGTAAACCAGACAGAAATGGTTAAGATCAGTCATGTGATCAGTACTGGAGCACAAACATAGGAAGGTTGAGCTTTAGAAAACATATGGTTTGATCTTTTGTGGTGGTGTGACATTTGAAAAAAAGTTTAAAACTTGAAATAGTTCAAATCGGCTTAATTTTCTAACTTAGATGAACTAAACTTGTTAGTTTAGCAATTAAATGTGCACTGGAGCAGTGCTACTACTGGTAACAAAAGTTAAATTGAAAAAAAACATTAAAAAACTAAAAACATAACTGGGAAAATAGAATAAAATTAATTGACTCTAGAAAGTTTTTGAAACATGGCATATTATAAAACTGGAAAGCTTTACAACCCTCCTGCATTAAAAATGAAAATGCCACTAGACAGCAACAACACTAGACTGTGCTGAGAAATTTAATAAAAATTGTAATTATACCAGTTAGCACAAAGTTGGTAGCTTTAAAATACTATAACTAAAAACAAAATTAAATTAGAAAAAAAAGAAAAGTATGATAGTGAAAACTAACAATAAACCCAACTGAAAAGATCGATTTTATCAATAATTTATTCATATTAGTTCATTAATAAAACATTAAAAACTCTAACAACCCTGCACTGAACAATGAGAGTTTTGAAATGATAGAATATTACACCTTTGCCAAGAAGATTAATTTTGACGACTACACAGCACCATTTCTTACAAAATCGTATAAAAGAAAATTGGGATTTGTAAACTTTAAATCAGAGATTACTCACAGAGTCCAAGAGGAAATGGAGGTTGTGTATCATCTTCTGCTTGGCCAACTGAGTCATCCTAAAAACAAAAATGATGCATAATAATCTACATATTTCTTTATATAAACGTACACAAAACAGGTGCGAAAAAGCTCTGCATTCACTTCTAGGAACTGCCGTTTTGTTTTCAAGAATGAGCGAATGATATCTTGAGCAGTTTTAAAGTTTCAGTAAAACAAAGAATGCTGTACATATTTCTTCATCATGGGAAATGTCCACCTAAACAAACAAAAGACCATTATCCAATACTTTCAGTACCCACAAGAAGGCAATAAAGAGACTATTCGTACATTCACCAAGAATGAAAGTGAATGAAAAGCACAGAAAACTGAATCACTGAACCACAACAGATGCCATTTCAATTTAGCGGCATGCATTTATGACTTCAATCAAATCCTCCTTAATAATTACAGATAAACATCCATCATCGTGAAAATTAATTAGTTTATAAATACTTCTAGTGAATTTCTCATCCTGCCAAAGACTAAAAACAAAACCTACAAGCTCTTAATTTTATACCTCCGAGTTGTTGTCCTGATCCATTGTCCACTGTTCAGTAAAACCTCAACCTGAAATAAAAGATCATATGAGTCAGACACAAAAACAACCCACATAATATGACTCCACCAAATGGCATTGAGACGTTCAACAGATTTGAAGAGCTTTGGAAGGCTGTGTACTGGCCTGTTGGAAATATATGCCTCAACACTAAACCAGACACTGTTTAATTAAAGGATTTCTAACTCTTTTCTGACTTGTGCAGTTGGGTTGGTTGAGTAAAGTGAGTCATCAGACTTGATTATCAGCCAGCCATCTTGCCTCGTGCAATTACACCACGTATACTTTTCGAACTACTGTGATTCCAGCACAACAGGATTCGTTTTTGTTTTGATGAGGGTTCAGATCTGATAACTATCTTTTAAGTTGCACAACAAAGCGGTTTATGTTGACCATGTAACAGATCTAATCATACAGAAGGCAGACATTAAAGGTGGCAACCTGCTTTCGTTAGCACACCAAACTCAATTCAGACAGCTTACAGTTTCTAGCTTTTAAATGCTTTTGTAAGCAGTTACATTTCATAGAAAAGCCGAGAACATTTTAAATTTAAGTTATAAACAGTCAGTCCAAACAGAAGGTAACGTTAAATCTAAACCGCAAAATCTGATGCACTATTAGCTGCAATCTCAGCCACCACTTCGAAAAAGCAGCAAACATAAAAATAACTCTTACATTTGACTTGACAGACAGCTTGTCCACTCTTCCCACGAAAGTACCGGATCGGATTGGACCGGGGTCGGACAGTCAGTTGTACTGAGGGATGATTCTTGACAAGGTAGTTCGGCTACAGGCTAACTGCGTACACATCCACGCAGCTGTTAGCTGATGCTATGCTAATATAAGCTAAGCCCCTTTAAAAACTTTATAAAGAACTAGCTAACAATACTTATTTTGACGCGCCGTGACGATTATAATATTGCATTTTATTATAGAGATATTTAAATAATACTAAAACTACCACCTTGACTGTAGTTTATTCGCCTAGCCTCGGCAAAAATGAAATGATTAAAGTTAGAGCTACAGTTCCGCTGCTTGCATGACTCTGTAGCGCCGCCTGTTATTGCAATGCTTTCTGGGTAATGTAGTGTATATAGGATGATAGCGACTGAGGTCGTGTAAACATGATTTTGTGTGGGGGAAAAATCGGGTTTATACTTAATCTATATTAATCCATATAACAAAAGCAGGAAGTATAATTTAAACATTACCCTGCCAAACTGTTTTAAAAGGAACTATTGTAATCCAAATTGTAACTTTTGTAAGTGCTTGCTACACTGTAACAAAAAAAAAAGTTAAAAAGTAGGCCTAGATGTAACATTACATTGACTCACGTTTGTGCTTTCTGAAACAAAATGCGGTTAAAATCTGCATTGTTAATTTTTTTGTTTAAAAAAAGAGAAATTTTCACAGTTTAAGTAGACATTTGATCTTACGTTTAAAACAGATTACATTGGTCATTTGTGAGGTGCAATTTATCCTCGTCATTCAGATAATATTATAGTAACTGAAGACAAAGTTTGAAAATAAAAAAACGAATTGTTTATTATGGTAACTACAATTCATTAACCTGGTGAACCAATGGTCAACCAATGACCAAGCCCAAACGCAAAAAAAGATTCATAGCCAATAAGGTGTTTCTTTTTGGCTAAAAAGCATGGCTGCACATCTGAATTCTGTTAACAGAGCTCATGTAGGACAGGTGGGATTTCTCATCATACTTGTTTCAGTGTTTTTGTGAGGTAGTAAGCATTTTATGCATGATATTAAAAATTGCCTACAGCATCTTACAACATTGTGAACTTTATACACCCTTTTCTGAGGTTCACCTATAACAGAAATATCTTAAAAAAGATAAAGGGCTGACCTACCTATGCAAGACAGACTAGGTGATTCAAACTCACGTAAATGGTGTAACATGCAGTATACTTCTGATAATCTAACATTTTCTCTTTTTAGCATAGATTAATTTATTTCTCTAAGCAGGCTACTTGGTTGAAATGCTGAAGTTCCATAAATATACACATATTAAACACAAACATTTGTCAATAATTTGTGGCACAAAAATAGACAAAAAAAATTGAAATGGTGCTACAAAACAAATATTCATTTACAATGTTTCCCCTAAATGCAAGAACAAAACAAGTAAGGTAACATGGCCATGAACTACCTTGTCTAACCCCATTTTAACATGTTGGCCATTAAGATTTCCAAGTTTGAGATTAGCTCCCATAATACCATCAAATTATATTTACATCTTAAAATTCAAGCCTGGAAAATCAGGTGTGGTTCCTTCCCCTCTAATAGTATTGTCATTCATGATCTTTGTTCCCTGTATCACATTATCATTATCAAAATATTGCACTTGGATGCATGATATGTGCTAGAAAAACAGTGAGCTGCAGCAGCTATCTCTAAAATCAGTCTCATGCCTTGTGGTTAGAGGTGCTCTTGGATTCTAATTGTGCACTTCTTGTATTCACTCACAATCATAAAAGTGTATTTTGGCAGGCATTTGTTATACTTCACCACAAAATGCATAAGTGAATATCAAAGGTTTTAACTAGGATTTACAAAGGTGGAATGACACACAAACTGTGGTTCATGGTGATTTAGGTATCAAAAAGTTTGAAAGTGTCCAGCTGAAGAAGCTAAAATCTTTCTGTCACAACTCTGTCTGTTCAAAAAAGCTGGTATAAAGATCCATATTTCTTCTGACGATCCAGAGTTGAATGTCTTTGAGCACTTGACCCAAAGACCCAGAGTCATATAGTCTCATTAAATAAGTGCACCAGAGGTGTGTGGATAAACACGCCATGTGACAGTCTATTTTTTTTTTTTTTAAAGAATGCCTAAAATCTCTCATATTATCAGGGGGTTTTTCTGTACACCTCAGTATATACATTCCTAATGTGCATATTATTGCGACAATAAGACATGAGGTTGCATATTTTAAGAATACATGTATTGCATTGGATACCTCAAGACATCTATATGAAACAGACGCTGATAGCAAAATAATAATAATAATAAAACACCAAACCATGTCGACATTGATGATAAAGGAACAAATGGTGCTTTGTGCAAAATTCTGATGTGCCTTGCCTTCATTTGGAATGTCATAGGGAACTCATTAACCCATAAGGTGAGCACCAAGGTCATGGGTGATTTTATTTTCCCTCAAACTACACACGTCTGAGTATGTGGATGTAAGGCTGGGAGATGATTTTGAAAGGTTCACTTAATATTAAAAATTAATAGTGTTTTTAATAATACACCAGCAACTGAAAACTCCAGTTTAACATAAATAAAAATAATTAAGTGCACCTTTAAGAGTATAAAATATGTTAAACATTGGCTTCCCCAATGCCCAATAATCTTCATCTCTGAAAATGAAATTATCTGAGCTCCACCCTTAATGGCATAACGGTGATTTTATTTTCCCTCAAACTACACACGTCTGAGTATGTGGATGTAAGGCTGGGAGATGATTTTGAAAGGTGCACTTAATATAAAAAATTAATAGTGTTTTTAATAATACACCAGCAACTGAAAACTCCAGTTTAACATAAATAAAAATAATTAAGTGCACCTTTAAGAGTATAAAATGTTAAACATTGGCTTCCCCAATGCCCAATAATCTTCATCTCTGAAAATGAAATTATCTGAGCTCCACCCTTAATGGCATAATCATTAACATAACCCTAAAAACCAGCATATTACTTTGTGCTTCAGTTCATATTCTAAGTGCTTTTGCATTTGTGTGTGAGTGTGTGTGCAGGTGTGTATCTGCATTTTCCTTTAACACTCTCCAGCAGCAATCAACTCGCCCGGTCTGGCTAGTCTGTCCCGTCTGTTTTGCTCCTCCTCGTCCTCATACAAGGTGTGATGGATGCTCAGCAGCGAGTGTGAGGGGTTTCGACTAAAAGGCCCGGGCTGGCTCTCAGGCTCTGTCCCCTGGTTGAGAGGATCTTCGACCTTCGGGAAGTCTGGAGGAGGCATGCTGGGCGTTCCAACATTCATATATGATATTGTGGAGAAGGCAGTGGTGGTGGACAGTGGAGTAGACTCTTTCTTCTCTAAGGGCACAAAAAGATGATATAGAATTATTGGTAATACAAATATAAACCAACACATATTGTTTTATGTCTGATATTAAAATACCTGATATTTAAATATTGTCTAAATAAATAATAATAAAAAAACACCTAAACTAAAACAAATTATTTTAAAGCCTACAAGTCAATTAATGCATAACAACATTTTAATGTACAGAGTAAAAATGGAAAAATTCACTTTAAGGTTTTCTAAAGATTTAACAGAACATGTGTAATTAAATTATTCCTGGTGGTGGACAGTGGAGTAGACTCTTTCTTCTCTAAGGGCACAAAAAGATGATATAGAATTATTGGTAATACAAATATAAACCAACACATATTGTTTTATGTCTGATATTAAAATACCTGATATTTAAATATTGTCTAAATAAATAATAATAAAAAACACCTAAACTAAAATCAATTATTTTAAAGCCTACAAGTCAATTAATGCATAACAACATTTTAATGTACAGAGTAAAAATGGAAAAATTCACTTTAAGATTTGCTAAAGATTTAACAGAACATGTGTAATTAAATTATTCCTGTTTTTTTTTTATTAACTTGAAATAGGCTTAAGTGGGTGAGTTAAGAAAATAGGAAAAATGTAAAAATAGAGCAATCTATTGAATGTGCAATTGAGTACTGCAGGAATGGAGTCCTAAAACCCTAATCTAAAAGCATTTCTGCACTTCCCGTTCCATTATCCCAAAGACAGTGTGATTTTTGGAATCCCTGAAATAAGGCCTGTGGTTAACAAAAGCTCAAGATATTTTCATGTTTTATTCTATGGCATAAAACACACCAGTAATACCACCACCTTGTGATTCTCTAAGCTTTTATGTGTCTTGAAAAAGGCAAGAAGTCTAATAAGTGGGACTACAGAGACATCCAGATGTCTGAGACATTTAGAAGTGTGAGATATCCAGACGTCATCACACCAAACAGGAAAACTCATCTACTCACTAGTCCACTTTTACTGCCTCATGTTGATACTCACGCACTTGCTATAACTATTCTAATTCAAACTTTCTAAATTGTAAATTTTAAATAAAGATTTGAAAGTTGTAGGACACAATAACACTGGTGACATTTAAGTCATACAACCATTGTGTAGTTTATTTATAGCCTAACTTTGGCTTTTTACTTCTGGTGGCTGCATTTACACTTCAAAATTCATAAAAGTTTTATTAATTTGTGAAGATTACCTTAATGAACAAAATATGTAAGAATCATAAGCTTTTGTTGGTCACAGAGCTTGTTTTCGGCAATAATCCTAAAAAAAAAGAAACAATCCTATTGGCTTTTTATCAAGGGAACTTCCAGGTTGGCCTACAAAAATACACCATCCCTGCAGCAAACTCGCCAGTATGATACCAAATACATTGTGCATCCCTAGAGACAATCCAAGCATACCAGTATGAGAAGATGAGACATGTACAACCGTATGTGGACCCTCAATATACACATTACTGAGAGAGTGCTCAACAACAAGGGGTGGCTCAGGATTGACCGTTTCTGTTTTCGCTTTCTGGATGGTTAGCATGTAAGGATGAACATCCAGCGAGAGGTTAAGAGTGTGTTTCTTCTCTATATTATTTGTTTCTGCAGCTGAAAAATAAAATTAGGAATACGATCAGTGAAGGATTTGAATGACATTCGCTATATTAACCAAAACCAGGTTTTACTATACCAGTACCAGTACCTTTGTTAGTAGGAGGATGTTGTGTGCTCTTGCTGTCCAGAAGTGGAGCAATAATGCTATCTGCTACATACTTCCTTCGGACTGGTTTAGGTTTCTCTGCTTTTATGCTGTTTTCCAGTCTGGTTAGAGTCAAGGGTTCCTGTATAAAAGCAAAGAGGTACATTTCACAAACAACAAGTAAGCTATTCATCAACTAAATATGAACAAGAACGTCTTACCTTAAAAGACTGTGGCAGAGGGTTAGATGTGGGGATCCACTTGATCTTCTTGCGCGGTCTTTTGATTACTGAGGGCTCTCCTCCCAATTCTCCCACACCGAGCACTGAAGGGTCCATACTGGGGTCAACAGTCTGGATCCCAGAGTCTCTCACAGTTGGAGTGGCGTCGTGGTTGGATTGAGCCAACGCTGCCAGCAGCTGCCGCACCACATTATCATACATGAGGTCACTCTCGTTGGTGATAAAGTCCAGTCTGTTGAGAGACTTAATGTGGTCTCTGTTCTCATTACAGAACATGGCCAGAATGTTGATGTCGCAAAACTGTGACTTCTGCCAGCGGCGGCGTGTTTTAATGCCAACCTTGTGCAGCTTGTCGAAGACGAAATTTGACTTGCGCACTACAAATAAATGCAGCAAGTTCACAAGGATAATGAGGTTCATAGTACACAGCAAAGCGATGTCCACTGCGGCCATAATGCGTTGGAGCTGCACGGCTGATAGCTTGCAGTTAACATTTAGCCGCAGTTCAGGGATGCTGCTAGTGTCCGGTGGCTCGCCAAGCACGCAAGTGAACTCGTTCTGCCTCTGACGGGCGTAGTAGGTGCTCAGGTACGTTATGGGTATTGAGCTGAGGCAGATGATGGCTAAATGTCGCGCCAGGTACAGCTTAGCCAGAAAGTTACTCTGCCCGCGGCACTCAAGATACTTCTCAAACAGGTTCTGCTCGGGGCTCTTCTCCTTCTCTGCGTTCTCGATGATCTCCCGTCGCTCACGTTCCGTAATCCCCGGCCCCTTGGACTGGATCTGTTTCTCAATCTTGGGCGCTCTGCACTCGGCTGCCCTGTGGTAGCAGTTGTCGATCTCTTGAAGGAGGAAGTTGAGCTCAGAGGTGAGCCGAGTGGAGGCCAGGAACTCCCATCCCAGGGCAGGTATGTACATGATGCCTGTGAAGGCCAGCAGAGCGTAGGGCAGAAACTTGTGCTCAAACAAGGAGGGCCAAAGCTGGGGGTCGACACCAGGCACTGCATCTCGAAGCTCTGTCCAGCAGTAGCCTCTGGCATACAGGGCCTGGTCGCGTGTGAAGTTGTGTGGGGTGTAGCAATATATAGATTCCTCTAAAAGAGAAGGAAAAATCCCACTTCAAAAAATATTTTTATATTTCTAAATAACAATCAATTAGATATTACTAGTGTTCATACCAAGAACAAGAATAACGTTTAAATAATCTAATTATAAGAGAATAGCAAGGTTCGCACCACAACTATAACGATAATGACACAGAGGAACGATAGGTTTGGAATCACTTTCAGAGCTTTTATTTTTTCCAGCTGATGAACAATAAAATAATGACAACCAGAATTCAAGGTCAAGCACTAAAATTACTATAATTACAATTAATAAAACCTCAAATTTAACTGAAATAAATTAATAGTAACATTTAAAGTATATAGACTTTGAAAAAATTTTTTTTAATTAAAATTAAAATGAAAACTGAAAATGTAAAAATAAAAGCTGGCTCAAAATAATAAAAATATTATAGTAAATAAATAATACAAAAATAACATTGACACTAATTTACTTATTTTTATAGTTGTAGTTATTATTCTTGATGTTAACGGGAGATTACATTTTAATTGAATCAACTACAATGTTATTTTTGTCGACAGTGCATTTCAGTCAAAATTAATTAATGGAATATATGATGTAATATTGACTAAATTTAAAGGATATTCTCATCAAAAGGTGAAAACTGCAACTAAAACTGTGTAAAACTGTTAAAAAATTAACACTTGATATTACAACTGACTCTATCCAGAAAAATCTGGCATTTGGTGTACCCAGCGGGGATTTATTTCTAGTAACGAGCTGTCATCAGGTTGGAATGGGTTTAATGCATAGTATAAGGCAGCACAGGCCAATAATGATGAATCAGTGATAAAACAAATGCTACATTTGTCTGTGCCAGTTGGACAAAGATAGAGGTAGTTCTTTCACAGCCGCTGTAACTCCTATAGATGCCTTCACCTTATTCTGGGTCTCATTGGATTACACTCCTGCACAGAATCAATAATGTTAAGAAAGTTATTATGGTCATAAGCTCTAGTTTAATAAAGCAAATACGTGTATGCTATATTTGGCGTGTCTATATGGGAATACAATCTTTATGGTTACAGGCTCTACTTTTTCTTTCAGTTTCAGATTGATTCAAATTATTATCCTTGCAATTTATCCTAAACAGCTTCAGCCAACACAACGATGAAGGCTTGGCCTTCACTAATCACTCATTCCTGATATATAACAGGTATTCCTATTATAGACAAAAAAACTGCAATGTAGTAGTCCTCAAATGGTATGGAAAGGAGTTCCAACTACAACTTTCGTAAGCATAAATGTAAGTGTATCTCCAACAGTTATTCAGATTTAAGCTATACTGCATGTTTCTGCCCAGCAGGGTTCTCGATGTTCAGTCACAGCCAGTTGGTGCTGCTATGCAGTAAGACTGACTCAGCGTTTAGAGTAAACCCCCTTCTACCACCACAACCTCTCTTTATCTCTCTCTCTCTCTCTCTCTTTTCTTACGTAATCACCCCACAATCTTAAAAAACTTTTAAAAAACCCAAATCATTTAACCACTCCTTTGCTGGATAGCAGTGGACAGCAGGAATATAGAAAGTCCCATAGAGCGGTTAATAATGGCTCAACTTAATAAAACTTAAATCTGTCATGTTGTGTAATATTTCAGATTTAAAATTTTATGCCATGTCATAAATTGTTCATATGTATAAAGGGTGTTTTCTCTAAACATGTTTACATCCACATATTTTTATGAAAATTTTTGAATTTTGCATAAAGAATGCTGAATTGAAAAATCAAGATGATGTGATAAAAATGTGAATATGTACATTAAAACATTTAGGCCAGTGTTATTTTAGTATAAGTGAGATTAGTTTTTATTTTTATATTTTCTGTTTTCATTTTAATTTTAGTTTAAGTTTTAGTCATTTGTGTTGCGTTGTCATTTTGATAATTTTAAAACAAATGTCTATAGAGTTTTTATCTAATTTTATTTCAGTTCTAGTTTTAGTTCCGTTTCAGTATCAAATAAAACAAAATGAAAATGAGAACTGTTGCTGAAATATTGTTTTTAATAAGTGTTTTTATATTTGATATATTTTTATATTTTATTTAAGTTTTATTTAATTTTTTTGTGGTTTTAGTATTAGCTTACATTTTTGTTTTAGTTAACTATAATCCTGTTCTTAGAGTGCAAAGATTGTACACTGTTGTTCTTTAACTCATTAGAAAGTTTTACGGCATTATTTCTGAACTATATGGAAGCTTGATATGTTGCAGTGTCTTTGCCCACGGTATAAAAACACAGACAAGAAAATAGCTGTCGTACATTTCGAAAATCAATATATCTCACTTTGAGCTCAAGAAATCAATAAGGAGCAGCTTTCTAACAAATGGAAAGAACAAAAATGGCAAGAAACCCATGTTTGTAAGTTAACTATATTTTTGTGATGAAGTATATCAGTTTTTCAACTGAATGCACTATATATGTTTTATGTTCATCTTTAATGTACAATAAACAATGTTTTTATCGTCATAGCTGTGCCATAGTGGGTAATGAATTGTTCTGACATTTGGTGTGTTTGTGATTGACTTGGTTTTATTTATGTAAATAAAAAAAATATTAATATAGGTTTTTATTAACATATTTATGTTGTTTTGATTAAAATATATATATATATTTAATCACATTTAATATATATACAGCCTGTAACATAAATGCAGGGTTAAATATATTTGTATATTTCATTGAACAAATCTAGTTGACTCCATCTGCATTGAAGTAAAAAAATGTTTTGTTTTTTTTTTTCAATTTTGTTGACAAAAAAAATCTGTAACCATACACCTAGACTGGTTGAGTATAATTCATATGGTAAATAAAATATATTGCACTCTATTACATATATATAGAAAATGAGGTCAATATTCCGATTTGTGGTTGACCTATATATGTTTTTCAATATTTCGATCTTAAATTATTACAATTGGTGCTGCCAATCTTGAAGACAATATGTGCTGATATAAGAAACTATTCTATTAAAAATTGCTTATGTTAGGCACAGTGTTAACTTGTATTTGTCACTTTGGCCTAGTTAGAGACCGTTTAGATCCTCTAAGAGAAACTAGAAAAACTCCTTTCACAGCAGGTTTGATCAAACTCTCAAAACAAGTTGATAGCGATTAGAAATGTGTCATGCAAACTTAATGCAACAGCATGCAGTAGGCTAGTATCTTAACGCAAAACAGCCTTAGATATAATCTAGGTTTATCGACGATGCTGTATAACGACACTGTCCGACATATTGACATTCTGACAGTGAATGTTTAGGAGCATTAAAGGTCATGCTGTGCACATCACTTACGCTCAGTCGAGGAGCTGTCCATCACTGGATCATCTGGCTAGGATGACACATAGCGGCTTAAGACATAGATATGATAAAATGCATGATACTATATACGACATGAGTGAAAGAGAGACGGAGAGGACTGGGTTGCATTGACTCTCATCTGATGTCACATACCTGTCAGATTACTTGATTATACTGAGGAACACGCAGAGCCCGAATCCTATGCTCAAATCATCAACACCAGGAAAGATCTCCTCACAACGTCCAACAGATCTCCCCCAAAAAACAAAGGACGCGGATGCTGTGACTTGTGCTTTAGTGTTGAGCATCCCCGGCGTCTGAAGAGTTAATCTGCAGTGCGGGCGAGCCGTTTCAGCGTGTATCCGGGCACACACACCGGTTTGTTCCGCTTCTCGCCATCCCTCTCACCCTCCCCTGACAAACCTCACACACTTCTCCGGTTTACACCATCATCTCCACACAGACCTTCAAGGAGATACATTGCCGTTGCTTGTTTGCCCTACACGAGACGTTATAATATATTGCTAGTGTGCTTGTGTGGAAACGCAAGCGATACATCTGGCTTAATAAATAAAAGGAGACATTATGAAATCATAAAGATATGTATTGGATTCAACTTTTCCCCCCCGTATGGTCTACTGCTGTCCTTTATTTACTGTATAATCAGTTTTGTTTTGCATTGTGCTGTATGTTGTTGTGCATTAAAATACAGTATTTCTTGCACAAGATTCTATTCTATTTATCTTATGTATTTTTTATGTTACTGTAGGGTGACTGAAATCTGTAAAGATGTTTAGGTTACACTGCAGTAGCTTTTTTGTCATATTATAGGCTGCTTTTTATTTTATAGCAAAATATACAGCTTACGTGCTAATGAATTAATCCACCCAAAAAAAACGAAAATTCTCTCATCATTTACTCACTATCACTGTCCATACAATTTAAGGGCACCAAAATGGTTTGGTTGCCAGCATTCTTCTAAACCATGAGCAAACATACTGAGCTGTTGGGTCACTTTCTGGAATAAGTAACTCACATTTCACGTAAACGATCTTTAAAATTTTATTGATCTACAATGACATAACAAGATGCATATATTTATACAAAAATAAAATCTAACAAAGTAAAAATGGTTGCATGTAGCAAGGCACTGAACAGTAATATGGTCCATTAATGTGTTAGAATTATTGAAAGCATCATATATTAGGTCCCCTACTCTTCTAGCTTCTGCCATGTGGGTTTTCTAGATAATGCATTACAAGTGCTGTAGATTGTACATGCATGGTGTGTCCACCATTTATTTGCATATAAATTTGCTCAGCCATTCACTCATCACATATGATTCTAATTTCAACTGGTATGGTAGGCTATGTGTATATATATATATATATATATGTGTATATGTATATGTGTATATGTGTATGTATGTGTATGTATGTGTGTATGTATATATATATGTAGGCTATGTATATATGTGTGTATATATATATGTATGTATATATGTGTATATACATACATATATATATGTATGTATATATGTGTATATATATATATATATATATATATATACACCTTGCTACGTGTACCGTGTTAGGCTAACCGAGACTTGTCATTTGCACTTATATATTGTTGCTCTTTTGTTAGTTTTGACTGCTTTTATTGTCCTCATTTGTAAGTCGCTTTGGATAAAAGTGTCTGCTAAATGACTAAATAAATAAATAAATTAGTTTTTATTTCAGTAGGCCTACTTTCTGTACTTCAACATATTCATAACAAATATTTAAATTTCTAACATTTCGTTTAAGCTTCAATATCTAACTTTTCGTTTCAGTTTTTTAAAAGTTTTTCATTAATATTAATATTTTAGTTCAGCTTTATTTAAATGTCTGAAAATGTTTTTTAATCATTTTAGTTTTGGTTAACAATAACAACACCGCATGAGGATCAGAAAATTCTCATTTGTGGGTGTGCGATCCCTTTAAGGGGTCAAAAAAGGTCCAAATCTGACATATTGGAACTAATCTGATTTGATTGGTGGGGTGCACAGAAATGACTCACCTTTGCTAATGGCACTTCATGCAGAAAGATCTCAATAAAATTAATCACGCTGTTGGACAAAAATCCAGAAGCTGAGAAAAGCAGTGGTGAGGTCACACTACTTATAGCAATCAGCATTTCCACCTACAGCAGTAAAATTGAGAGGAGGAAAGAAAGAGAAAAAAAGAAGGCGAGAGACAGTCTTTAGAGAGAATCACTCTATAGAGAAGGCAGACAGTCAGCTAAATGAATGAGAATGCTGAATGTCCTCTAGGGACGTTGCAGAAATGACTCACCTTTGCTAATGGCACTTCATGCAGAAAGATCTCAATAAAATTAATCACGCTGTTGGACAAAAATCCAGAAGCTGAGAAAAGCAGTGGTGAGGTCACACTACTTATAGCAATCAGCATTTCCACCTACAGCAGTAAAATTGAGAGGCGGAAAGAAAGAGAAAAAAAGAAGGCGAGAGACCGTCTTTAGAGAGAATCACTCTATAGAGAAGGCAGACAGTCAGCTAAATGAATGAGAATGCTGAATGTCCTCTAGGGACGTTCGATTGCACTGCTTTATTGCTGGAGAGACCCTGATGGTGACTCACCAGACTCTTGCTGGGATATTCTGCCACCACATGGCTGGCAATGGCACTGGGGAAACACTGCAGAGGTATCACACACACAAACAATGATAGTTAATCACTCTGAATAATTTACAATCTGAATTGGACTGATATAATAAACTGAACTCACAGCTACCAGAATCCAGAAGAAAGTGACAGAAAGATATGGCTCTGGGAGGAGAGCACCCAAATTCAGAGCAATAATTCCTCCAAATACAGCGGAGATGCCCACTATAACCTCAATTACCTGCAGCAGAGAAAGAGCGGCAGATCTACAGTAAAAATCGTGCTGATATACAGTGCATACACACAATCTCATTTGTAGGCAACTCACGGCGTAAGCCTTGAGAAGACGAGTGGGGAACGAAGCTGGGGTCACAACCACAGGGCCATCAGACACTGGCTGGAGGAATGAGATGGATGATAGCAATGAGGAAAAGAAAAAGAGCAGAGAGACATGAGCACAAGGGAGAGCATATAAAATGTAAATCATATAAGCTAGAGACAAATACATTTAGTCATAGATATATCACATGGTGATAAAATCCTGCTGGCTGGGACTCAGCATAAAAGGATTATGCAATTATTTTGCAAATGGAAATAAATCTGAAATAAACTAATATATAAATATTAGATAGAAAACTCTAAAATAGAATCAGAATTTGTCCTTGGCAACTAACTAAACTAAATAAGCTTAAGTACTGTAACTATTGAAATTAAAATGAAAATAATAAATTAAAGCTATAAAAAATGACAAGCATATTTTGCATTATTAAGATTTTTTAAATGACATTTTACTACATGTCTCATGCAGAGTCAGTTGTTAAAAAACAGAAAGATATTAAAGGAAAAATGTACAAATTAAATTAGAAATCTCAATTTCCACCAAACACTCAAAATTCATTATGAAAGATCTAAGATAATTATTTGTTATTATATATATTTATTTCCTGACATCTGCCAAAATAATTGTAATATTGCAGGCAGTCTATAGACATAACTGGTACACTCTCTCACTCACACACCTTTGCATGACTGCAGCAGTCGTCCGCTGAGCGTGCTGACAGGATAACAGTACTGGCCGTGAGCACTTCCAGCACAATAAGCAGGAGCAGGTTAAAGTTGATCTTTAAGATGACAGACAGCAGTAACTGTTTTAATAGTATAGATGTTTTACATGCACATTATAGCTTAGTGTCTGAGCATTGTGTACAAGCAAGTGTATAAGCATGCAGTGTATTTACTTATAAATGACCATATTACTTCTATCAGATCCTTTAAAATGATCTATGCTTTTCTATTGTCATATTATATAATACACTAGACTATTTAATTTTGATGTTACCACATGAAGGACATTTTTAAGATCACTGACAAACATTTTAGGGTATTAGAGTTGTGATGTTCTCACATTGATGGCTGAGGGACTAATGGCGAGTTTACATCCGAACCACACCAGACACGTGGTTGTCACAGCAAAGGACGACACGTAGACCATCTGAAAGTCTGAAACCTGTAAACATAATGTAGGTTATGTATTTGTAAAAAAAAGTAGCTTTTTACTTTTTTTAATTTAGCTTTTCAAAAGCTAGTTTTTTAATACAGTTGAGCTACTGAAAACTATAGTTAAGCACCACCAGTTTTAGTTAGATACTCTCCATGGTTAAACTACTAGACACAGTTGATTTCTCTGTATTTATTGAAAAATATCCTTTCACTTACTGCAACTTGTCTGTTCTTGGCAATAGCGAAGCTCACCACTGCAGCTGGTATACTCTACAAATCAGAAGCAAAACATACGAGTGTCAAACTGACTAGTGGCCTCATCCATGAGCATATGAGTCCTTCAGGACAAACACTCACAGATCCAGCAGTACAACGCAGGTAGTCCATTGCACCTGGAAACACATTACCCATGTAGAGGGAGAAAGTTGCTGCTATCAGCAAGCTGCTCTGGGGGTCAAATACAGATGAAAATCAGTGTGTTAAAGGAATATTTGACTCAAAATTGAAAACTGACTCACCCCTCAGGCCATCCAAGATGTAGATTAGTTTCTTCATCAGAACAGATTTTGAAAAATGTAGCATTACATCTCTTGCTCAGCAATGGATCCTCTGGAGTGCCGTCAGAATGAGAGATCAAAACATTGAAATAATCCACAAGTATTCTATCAATTAACGTCTTATGAAGTAAAAAGCTGCATGCGAGAAACAAATATATCATTAAGGTGGTGTTTTAACTTGAAACTGTTGCTTCTGGCCGAAATACCAATCCATAATCACACTTCCTCCAGTGAAAATGTCAATCTCACATCAAAATCCACCAACATGGACTGTTTTGGACTGTTTTCACTCACAAATGTGCCTGATCCGTGCATATTTCTCTGCT